AGGGTAATGAGGCACTGGAATGAGATGCCCAGGGAAGTGGTGGATTCACCGTCCCTGGAGGTTTTCAAGATGAGACTGGATGTGGTACTCAGTGCCATGGTCTAGTAACCACGGTGGTAGTGGATTAAGGGTTGGACTTGATGATCTCAGAGGTCCCTTCCAACCCAGCTGATTCTATGATTCTATGATCTCCTCATATGCGTCAGCAGTAAAATATAATAGCACAACCAGACATGAAGATGTATACAAATCCTTCTATTTTCATTTCCAGAAGCAAAAAGCCAGTGAAATGCATATTTATCAATGTCATGCTAAGACACAAAAGCTGGCCTATAAAACATAAAGACTTAAACACAGCCCTGATGTTGGAAACATTTCAACCATAAATAACAGCTTTAAAAATGTGTAAAGCAAATCTGGAGCATCATTCCAATAAATTAGCAAAAAGGACCTATTGTAGTTACAAAATTTCAAAGTCCAATTTATTTAACACAAAATTAGTCCAACCAGCTGCAGATGTTGTTCACAGGCTCCTTGTGTTCAACATCTTTCTTTGAAATCCGGTTTCTCTGAGGCTAAATCTACATTAAAAAAAAAAAAGGTAAAAAGAGAGGCAATAATTATTTGTTATCTCTTTCCTCTGTCCTTGCTGTTAATTGAATTTCTTCTGGCTAAGGAAAATAGACTGGAAATATCAAATCAGTCACACTTAATTTTATTGAAAACTATGAAATGTTAATGCAAAACAAACATTAAAAAAAAAACAAGCTAGAAAGGAAGATTTTGGCATTTAAGGATATTTGATGATTGTATCTTCTCCATTGCCTTTAACATTAATTTCCTCTCCATTATAAGAATTTTATTTGTATTAGCTCTCACAACCTGATTTTGCCTCCCTCTCCCTCCTGATATAAAAGCTGAGATATAAAACAAAAATTAAATGGGTTAACACAACAAAAAAAATAATTTCTCCAACATGTAACTGGTTGGGAAACATTCAGAACCATGAATGTTTTTTCCCTCAACGTGTTTCTGTATGTTCCTCATTTAGTCAGTCTGATCCATTTCCAAGTCCTACAGAAACTCATATGTTTTTTAACCCTTGATAATCCCCAAACAAACAACCAACACTGACAGCACCTGCTTCTTCGAGGTCAGAAATGTTAGAATAGTAAATCCATGATATTCTGATCTCAAATGAGACTAGAGAAAGACAAGCATGCAAACATGCAACAAAAAAATCATTAAGGTATTTAAATAACATGCATTCATAATTTTATAGTAATGCTATGGGATACTTTTACAATTGATTAAGTGGCTATAATTCATTCAGTCCTGTCACTGGTCATCACTGAAAAGAGCCTGGCTTCATCTACTCTGCATCCTCCTTCAGCTATTTGTACACAGGGATGAGTTTATCCCTGGACCTTCTCTTCTGCAGGCAAAGTACTCCCAGCTCTCTCAGCCTTTACTCCTAAAAGAGATGCTCCAGTGTCTTCATCGTCATCAGCATCAGCATCATGGCCCTTTGCTGGACTCTCTCCAGCATGTCCAATTTCCCCTTGTACTGAGGATATGTACACACATGTTGTCTCACATAATATAAACTGACTTTAAAAGTCAGTTTATTTTTATTTCCTTATACTACACTCCATTATTTAGCACCCATTTTCAGGAATACTTATAAATTATGAATAATTTACCAGATTTACTTCAAAACTACAAATATTTCAGTAGTCAAAGAAGAAAAGACTTGGAATAAATTATTCTGCATGACTTCACACATATCACAAATAAATCAATACAAAAAATCCAAAATGCACAGTGTGCATAAATTTAGGAATTCTTGTGATTATGTCAGTAAAGGCTCATCAAAACAGCAAGATTGTGTGGAGGACGAGAAATCAGACCGGGAAAGGTTCCAAAAGTGGAGAGAAGTTTATGGAAATTAAGAGAAGACATTGTGAAGTTGACTTCAAGGACTTTAGAATGTTTATAAAACTGTTAATGCATGCATACATTGATGTACCCCATTCATTCCTATTGCCCAGACGTGTTCAGACTTGTTCACCCCTTGTTCCCCTGTTCCTCCCTCTGATTGGCTGGGATTTGCCGCAGTGTGGAGTGACTTGTTATTGGTCCCCGGTTGTTTCAGTTTCCCTCCTACCTTCCTTAGTTTGTTCCCTAGTTTGTTTCCTCACCTGTCAATCCCACGCTCCACCTATCCTTCCAGCACCTTCCCCCGAATGCTATAAAAGCAGGCACCCTCCTTCAATAAATTTGGAATAGCCTCAGACCTTCTACCTTGTAAAGAGCCCTTTATTGCTGTCGTCATCCCATTCCACACCCAGACCACGGCAAGATTGTTTGCAAGCAGAGCAGCTGAAGAATGCAAACAAAAATAGCCTCCAAGCTTCCATTCTTTCTTAGAAAAAGCAAACTCATTTGGCTTTGTTGAACATTTAATGACTTTATCTGTTGCCAATTTTATGTAATCAGTATATTCCTATTAAATTCCTATCACATTTGTGACAAAAACATGCAGTTTATTTTCTGACATGATGTGAAACTCTTGCTTTGCAGCACAAAGCATGTTTTTTGAACACCTGAAGAAAAAAATGGCTAAAGTATGCAAATAACTATTCCCATGGACACAGTCTGGGGCTGAGATAAATTTTATCAGTTTCATGCTTACACTTGCACAATTACAACTACGTAACACATGGTTTATAATGTATGTGTGGTTTGCCTAATCCACACTGTCATTTTTCACTTATTTCCTCCTCTGGAAACATGGTGAACTAGTTTACTACTTCTTGTATTTTTAATTCTCTACCTCAGCTTAAAAAGGTTAAAAACATCTTGGATGAGTGTTGGAAAACCACATCATACACTGGTTAATGTTTTATTAAACTATAATCAGTTTCAGCAAAGACTATGACATTAGTAGAGAACTTATGTAGATTTTTACTAAGTATAGTTTACAGAGCTCTTCTAAAGGTATCAATTTATTTAAGTATAAACTTCCAGCTTATGAAGCATTATCCAGAAAGTTTTTTCCCCATTGAACTTCGAAATGTTTATATATGGCATGATGCCATTTATAGATGGCACTAAGTAAAAGCACACCATTTTGAGAAAAACAATTTCTATGATGGTACAGAATATCAGAGACTTGATACAAAATTATAAAACATGGATTTACAATTAAAAAAATTATTATGAACTCAAGTCTTACAGTGGTCAGTACAGGATCCCTAAATGAGATGGGAAAAAAGCAACATTTACCAAGTACCATATGAGGTACAAAGACACGTATGTGTATACACAGAAACAGAAACATAAACATCAGTGGAAGGGAAGAACACACACAGATTCTTTCATTTAAACCCTCAAAAGGAACTTCTACCGAAATATTGGTGATAAATAAAACCTTTATCACTAATCAATAGATTTTTTTTTTCCTCACTGATTTCATTGCCATCAAGTTTTTACCTCTGAACTAAAATGTTGTGAATTCCTTCTCATGTGCTACCCCTCTGCTTCCTCTTTAAAAGAAAAAATCCTTACATATATGATACTACTGAAATGGCTGGAGATTAGGTGTCCTAAGGAACATATGGAAATACCAATAAAAATTGAATCAGATTTATGAATATGTTTTTTACAGAAAGTTTCAGGTCCTTAAAAGACTAATCTTTCTGGTTTTCCATACATAAACTTATGAGACAGGCATCTTTGGTTCCAGTGTTAATTGGCTATTTGGATGTGCACACAGCAAACTCCCAACACCCTCAGAAACAAGAGAATGACAGTATCTAGTTTCTTTCATACTGATCTGTATTCAGAAATAAAGAGAAGGAAACAGTACACAATAATTTAATTTTATGAATGTCAGGAATGACAGCGCACTCCAATTTTGTATCTGTCTCAAATTATACCTGAGCCAAATATTTCATTTTAAGAGTACTGTTCTATCTTTTCAAAGGCCTTGTTTTATGTGTTCACAAAATAACTCACTATTTTTTAGTTTTCAGGAACAGTAATTGCTGTAAATCTCGTAAATTACCATGAGTAGTACCAGGAAGACACTCTGTGAAAATTCATCTACATTGTTGCTGGAATATTTATTAAGTACTAAAATATTTAAAGGAAACCTACAACTACTAAAATTCAAATTACATTTCACCTGAGAAAGCCTTTCTTATACCACTTAGTATTATTGTTTTGTCACTGTATAAGGAAGCATCTAATCCAATAACTAATCTTGAGTGGAAAGATTTCTTTTCATTAGACAGCTGAATGAAACCATTATATTAACTGAATATCCCCTATTGTGTTTTATCAGTTTGCACAATAAATTGCACTGCTCACTGTGGTAACTGACATTTTCAACATTTGCACATACAACAGAAATGTTAGCACCACTTACAAGCTGGTTAGCTCCTGATGGCTTGGTGACCTTCAGAGGTCCTTCAGTACAGATTTTACCTGGCTCCTGCTGGAGAGATCACCTCGCATTTTCTCATTATGATCACTCACTTTCCATCATCCCTTCTGTGTCAGCCTCTTCTAACTGATTCCAGTACAATTGAGTTAGGTGACACCTGTTATTTAAATTTTTAACATTCACCTTCCCCCTTTGCCTCTCTTAGAGGTCATTTGTATTCTCTGCTCCAGCCGATGGGTGACAGGATTTGACAGTTTGCTGCATAGACCATACACCAATTCCTTCACATATTAAAAGACATTACTCATGTAAAGGCCAACCTCAGAAACTGGATTCTTCCTCCTCTATGAGAAAGTGAGTTGGGAAAAGAACTGCACATACAGACATGACCTCTTCTGCTGGTCCTACAAACAAACATAGAGCCAAGAAAAGGGAAGGAACTAACAACATTTGGCTTTGTGCAAAAAAAATCCTTAACACAATATATATTAACCTGTGGCTCTTACCCTGTTCCTGTTTGCAGCTAGTTTAGGAGCAAAATCTACAGAAAACAGGGCTGACCAAAGATAACTCAAGTAACAACTAAAATGGGTAGCAATTCAAACTCATCTCATGGAGAACGATGACATGAACTCCTCACATCTTTTCAGTGGTAAGAAGATAAGCATTTTGCAGAGATAAAACAATCACCACATTGCCCATCTTTTGTGAGAGAAAAGCAAAAAAACACATGTATTTTTATGAGACAACATACCATGTATAAGATGTTTCTCTTTAAACTATTTGCACCATCCTTATAGTTTTGGTGTTTGATTAAAAAACAAACAACAAAAACAAGCAAACAAGCAAAAACCTCAGAGGAAGGCAAACAAAATCCCATACCAACAAAAACTCCAAACAAACAAAACCAAAACTGACAGTCTTGATGTTGCAATACACTTTCTCCTGCTTCACGGGAAAGAACAGCTGTCAAAATACTCTGCCATTAATCCATGATCCACAGGATCTTTCTACATGCATCCCTGTAGGCACTGAATGGTGGAAGTCTTTTCTCTTCTGGTTGATATGGCTGTGAAGCAGAGATATTTTTGCAGGCCTTAAAAATAAGTCAACTTGAATTAAAACAGAACAAAGCCAGACTAAATGAGTGATGTAACACTCAGTTTTCATTTCTCCCTATAAAAGTAAAATGAGAGCACAAAGTCCTCATTTTGGGATTCTCTACTATCTAAAACATTGATTCAAAATTTCATTTCAAACAATAAAAAAACCCTTGCCAGTAGGAAAGTATTAGTGAGATAGAAAACAAGAACTTGATGCAAACTCACAGAAAGAGCAGAAAGAGACTCAAAAGTGCAGTTACAGCCAAGCACTAACCATCTTCCTTACTTACTGCAAGTTTGGAAAAAAAAGGTTACAGATTATTACTCATCTAGTCAGGTTTATTTCAATATATTAGTAAATAAGGGATGGTTGGTTTCTGGTCTCAAACTACAGTAGAATCTCCGGCATTGTCATGGAACTACCAAGTCTTGGGCTGACTGATGGTCAAATTTCAGAACAACCCTGGTCCTACTGAAATAAATGCAAAATTGTTATTTTGAAAGTCTGCGGTATTTAGGAGTTTTAGATTAGTTCTGTGAGCTCTAACTCTCTATACAGCATTGCCTAAAGACTCTGCACACTGATCACTCCAGTACTCATCACATTTTCCTGTAGCATGAGGTTCTGAGACAACAAGGCTATAAAACCAAAATATTCCCTATTGAGCAAAAAAAACCAACAAAACTATTTATTTGTTTATTACTTGTTTTTTTCATTCATTTTATATGCCCCTGCAGTGATGACCCAAGTCATACACAGCACAACTTGTGGTAACTATGTCAATCCTATCTCACATGGGCTTTCTCATGAAGAACCTGCATCTTTGGAAGCCCTAATGGTAAGGGGGATACGCTAAAAAACCAGGACATAGCTTTGCTATCAGACGATCGTGACATTAAAAAACATAGTAATAAGCCCTTACATCGCACCAAATAGAACACGTAAGTTCTCTGTTTACATGCACACAGACAAAGGATTGATTTCTCCTCCTCCTCTGGAATGAGATCCAATGACAAAAAACAAGACAAATCATTATCTTCTGATACACTATCATTTAAGTCTCCTCAGTTAAGGTTATAAAATGTCTGTAGGCAAATAGAAATAGCCAGAAACCATGAAATATTGCTTAGGGATTTTAAAATTTATTTATTTACAATTTTTCTGGAAAAGAGGATCATTAGAATATATTGCTAGGGGCACTTTTTACTCAGGTGAAGATTGATACATATAAGGAATGACAGACAAAGGCACTAAACATCAGCAGCACCCTATCTGCATCTGTGTGTTCTGTAGCAGTCCTGTGGACAAATCCTAATAATCTCTGTGAGTCTCACTCTGAGACGTGACAAGACTCACTCCAAAGATCATACAGCTACAGGTACAAGACCGAGGAAGACAATTAGCTTGTCTGTCTTGCAGATCAAAGAGAATAAATTAATATAGACAGAAGCTACTGCTGATCACCTCAAATCTAATTCACAGATTACATTCAGATTTGGACTTTGTCTCAACAACTCATCTTTCTTTGCTTGCCATAAATTCCAGCAGAAACTGAAAAATGCCCCATATTTTTGCTTTATGTGGAAGGAACATAAATCTCAAGGAAAGCCTCCTAAAGCTGAAGCCACTACATGATTTTTGAGCAGGGACTTAAAATTTTCTTTAAAGTACAGGGCTATTTAATCTTTGGTGATCAGCAGATATGAACCCAGGTCTAGTTCTGAGAGAACAGTTGCAAAATCTCAGCTACCATTTCTGAAAAAATAAAAAGCTAAAATGTCAGAAAATGCTTTCAGAAAGTCCATAAACTAAATGTGGAAGGTAGAATTGCAGAGAATGTTAGGGGATTGTTAAGAACAGTTAGCAGAGTGAGATTTCAAGAGAACAAGAACTTGCACAAAAATATTCTGTGAAAAAAAAATTAAGAACAAAAAACTATGAGAAGTACACATTGTTATCATCACATATGTGATGCTGGCATGTAAGATATACAATGTATCACATCGCCAACACTAGTATGCCTCTGCACATCATCCAGGACAACAATTTACTGTTTAGATGTTTTACTGAAAGAAGAGAATGACAGATGTGAAAACATATTTATCCTCTCAACAAATGCAGTAGTCTCAGTAGGAGGCAAAAGAATAAACATCACACACGGCACAGTAAATATAAACTGAAAGTATTTATTATATTGTCACTTCTAATTTAAGGAGATTTAACAGGTATTTCCTTATAACATTCACATGCCCTTTGGAAACTGTGACAATAGAATGATATGTTACTGTCTCTCTTTTATTTAGACACCAAATCAGATGGATCAGATAAAAACATGGGCTCACTTGTAAGGCCAATCCCAGTTTGGTAAGCATGTCAGCACACACTGCCTAGGAAGCCTACTCCAGGGATGCAGGGTGAGGCATTCTGGGTCTTGGAGTGTCCAGAGGTACACTGACATACATGAGCAGTGTGTACACTACTGTCATTGGTCCAGGTGAATCACATGCCCCCCAAGGGTATATATTGGGGGTTTTTCTTTGAAATAAAGGCTGTTTGCAATCCAAGCTGCCGGGTCGTGTCTTATTATATTATATTAATAAGCCATCCACTGGACTGCCATCCAGTAACATGCCAGACCAAAGAGCCTTGAGAATCCAAGCTGGAATGGTAGCATAGAACACAAGCTGGTGATGTTGATCTCATGGATAAGTCATCCACCCCCCTACGACTTCTTTCACTGGTCCCTTTCTCACCCATCTCTTCCCAAATATCCTTCCTTCATGTATTTGCTTCCAGTCCTGGCCCTCTGCTTCCTTCCTGCTTTCTCCCCAAAATCATTGTCCATGCATCAGAGGGATGGAACTGCAGCTTAAGGCAATTCCATAAAACATCAACAGATTAAATGGACACAGGCGGTCTGCCAACAAAGCTTAGAACAAGACTTCAGATTTGGGGGAAAAGAAAAAGCAACAGAACACCTCTTCGCTCTTGTCCTAGGTGTTGCAAGTAGTTTCTACAGTAAACGAAATCCCACAAAAATAGATGCAAGAACTGGGATGAAGTTGTGGCACACACCCGCAGTCTCAAAAGGCAAGAAGTTTCTGTGTTCTCATCCTGCATGAGCAATTCTCACACTTTAGACATAATCTAAGAGAAAGTGCTCTTGGTGGTAAAAATGTTTTGTATGAGAAGTTGAGCTGATGTCTGACATTATGCATGTAAGTAAAAGCTGTGGGAGAACTGAGCTTCTTAGAGAAGCTTTATATCTCTGCCCAAAATTCCTCCAAGCAGTCAAACTCCGCCTCAGCTTCAAGCAGGTTTCCAGCCATGCATCATATTTATCTGAAAAACTGTTAAACAAGTTTCGTACGCTGTATTCAAGCAAGACTCAGCAATAGCTACTCAGTCATGGGCTCATCCTCCCAAAAGCAAAAGCATTCACTGCAGAAATTCCTGCCCCAGTGTCAAGGCCCTGCTCCCCACTTTGAGGAGCCACAGGAGAACATGTGCTACCAGAACAGTGATTATAATGGACCATCAATCTGCTCAGTTTTGTGTAACTTTAAATAGGAATTAAATATTCAGAATCTCAAAATCTGATCAGGACAAGCCACAAATTACCTTGATTCAACCTAAGTACCTTTAGGCAAAAGACATTTTTCTGTTTCATATTTCCAGTACTCCAGTCTGGTTATTTTCAAAGACAAGGACCGCTTGCTCTACAGTAACATGACATCCTTGAGCTGGATTAAATATGCTGTATTCTTGCAAAGTTAGCTATTTTTACACTCGAATAGTCAAAGCAAAAATTGGCATATCATACAGCTCTAGTCAGAAGTCAAGTTTCCATCTGTGAAATGAAATACTGTGAAGCAATTGAGAACATGCAGTAGAAAAAAAAATCCACTACTTTCCCCATGTCTAGTTGATAATGATTTCCTTATATAAAATGTATTGAGTTGCCATTTACAAAATGAACTATTTTAAGGGAGAGATCTGGGCTCCTCTGACAAGTTGCTGAAGATAGCAAATTCTTCAGAGAAGCTTTCCGCGCATCTCCTCAAGACACAGAATAAGACAAAGATGAGATATGAGAAAAAAAAGATAACATTCTGAGCAAAAGACATTTTTGAAGGTATTTGATAAATACCTCAAACATTTGATAAAGTTTGGAGCCATGGAGGATTAAAAATGACAGTAAGTCCACCTAAGATAAATTCCAGAGTGTGTTTCTTCGGACATTTAAGAGGAATTTTTTTAATATTGGGAACAAATATTAAGCTGATAAAAAAGATTGTAGAAAGTGTTCGGGTAAAGTTCTTAATAAGGATCATGGAATTTCTCTGTTAGATGACTTGAGAGGAGCTAAATAGCGGGCACAGGGAGCCAAGTTCATGAATTCCAAGGTAAGGAGGGCAAATTTACATTTTCCTAACACAGGTTGGCTGTTTCAGGATCTTATCCTGTAGCCCTCCCACTACCAAAACCCTGCCACATAAACCTAATACAGCATGAAATTCTCCCATCGTGTCTTAGAGTGGATGGAACAAGCACTGTGGGTTAGTAAAAACACATCCTGTTTTAGGGGGAGGGGAAGAAGACAGAGAGAGAACATTCCAGGTAGGAAACTGCCCACTATCAGTATCTAGCTTATGCTCCACAAAAATGTTTGGATACATCATAGAAACAGATCCACTGCCAAAAGATGTGGCAAATTACTAGCTTGAGATTCCCATTAGGAAAACTATCATTTGTTCAGATCTTGGGCTGCATTTGCAGTCTGCAGCTTGGCACAAACTTTGTTGTGTCTCTACTAAATAAATTCAGTGCAGCATCTTCTGCTTATCTCACCATGAAAAGTGTATCCCTGAAGCATCTCCTCCTACTCACCTTACTCATTTGACTGACAAGACTTGACTCCAGACTTTCTAGCACAACGATCTTATTAGTGCTTGTAATGAAGATGATGTGAGTCATCACCACTGACACTTCATTTTAAATTCATATTTAAAGTTAACAAGTCAGTATAGCCTGAATTACACAGAAAATTCATAAGCAAGTCCCTGCCCCTTCAGCATTGCCTGACTGCTGACCAAACAGCCAGTTCTTAAACAAAAAATATCTGTTCTTTGGCAGATAACCAAGTATCTGTCCTTTGTTAACCTCATAGACAAAGGGGACAATGCTGAGGCACAATGAATATAATCTGGAGACCACTAGCATATTTCACATTCAACATCTTGAACAGTTAACATTTCATGATAATGATCACTGATAGGTGACACGTTCAATTTAACTGGCATATTACAAAAACATCCTGAAAAACTAAGTTTAGACAAGAAATCGTGAACAGGTCACTGGGGGAACTGACAGGCGCGTAAGTAAATAAATTAGCTTGACTGAGCCAGGATATTACTAATGAATCAAAATATGATAAGAGATGTGAATAGTTTCATGTGATATGTTTACAGGAGGGTGACATACAGAAACAGGCCCTGATGGAAGTTCCAGCTTTGAGCTCGGAGAACTAAGATATTAAATTATTTTTACATCCTCAGTGATGTCAAAATTATAATTACACTGCTTCACCCCCTGTCAACACTGGCATGTCTGCATTAAGTACCTCGGAATGGATTTTTACTGTTCTTTCATTATGATAAGTGAGAAGTAACCCCATTGGCAGGCATCCTTGTTGTAAAAGACACAGTTAGAAGCTGTTGTGCATGGACTGTCACAAGTGAATTTATAGTCTGACAACATATAAACAAAAAAAACTAGGGCAATACTTGCTTAACAGAGGAACAATCTACTGCTATTAGAGAAAGAAAGTAATAATAACTTTGAGGGCTCTTTTCTGCCCCCTTGCATATTTTGAACCGCATATTGTCCTGTTGATGGAGAAATCATCAACTAGATTTCAACCCCCCTGATTAAGCAAAACAAACAAACAAACAAACGGAAGTAATTATTTTTTTTTAAGTCTCTTTTTAAACTATAGAAAAAATAAGCACAGTTAGGGCAGAAAAAATAAGGGCAGTTTTTGGTTTTTACTACCATGTAAATTGACTATTGCACCTCCAAGTAAATTCAGGGCAAATATGTGATTCTGGGGCTCCTAGATATTCCTATACACAAAAGAGCTCCTTCAAGCACAAGCTTTAGCAACCAAGCAATGACTATTACCATCAGATAGTTCAAAATGCCAGTAATTATAACACTTCTTACTGTAATTATAAACTAAATATATCTTGGTGTCTATGATAAAAATATGGAGCTTTACATAGTCCATTTTAGAGAAAGACAGGAAGACAAAATAAATAGTGCAAAATGGCTCTTTCTCACTGTGCAAGTGCTTTATTCTCATAAGGCCGCTAAAATAGTTTCTGTGTAACAAACCTTCCATTACATATTTCATACAGAATTTTGGCAGGTTTAATTAATGCTGCAAAAGATTAATAACAAAAAATAAAAATTCTGTCAGGTTGAAATATCATTGTCAGACACTTATTTCAGCTGCTGAAACAGGTTTTGTACGTACAAATGAGTGTTCACATCCATAAGGAGTCATTTATATGAAGGTGCAATTTTTGAATTATTTCACGTAAGGTGAAAATAAATTTATCTCGGTATGTTGCCAAAATTGTAATTTTGTCACTATGCACATCCAGCTACAGCTATGCTCAACCTGCTCTCGTGAGTAACATTATAAATTCAACCTTATAAATTTGTGCTCAGCTTTTCATAATACCTGTATTTTTTACAACAAAATGACACTACAGTACTTAAAAGCGACTGACCCATCTAATAAGCAGGAACACTGCAAAGAAGTGCCTACAGCACTTTTGTAGTCATGATGGTTTAGAAGCATGAATTACACAGGTACTGTGCTACTTCCCCCTACAATCCTGGTAGTAAACTAAATTATTCAGCCAGAGCTAACAGCCCAAATTTGGATGCACAGGCCCACTTTTGGGTTTCAAACAGATGCTAAAATCATAGTATTTCAATTTAGGTTGAGAACAGTAAATCAAACTGCATATGTTAAGTGTTAATGGGATCTTATGTTAACTGTAAGAGGTTAAAAACATTAATTACACAGTTTTAAAGACATTTTAAAGTTGCATTTCTGGAGCAGTGGCTGACAGAAAGATAACACTCATCAGGGAGACCTTTGGACATAAAGACATTACAGGACAAAACATAAATTTCCAATTATTTTATCGTCTTGTTTACAACATAACATGATATACTGAAATCTACTTTGTGCATAATATTTTAATACCTTCCACACCTTGTCTTGAATGTCATCACGGATGATCCTGAAAAACAAAATTAATAAATGTACTAGGCATTAGAAGTCTGGCACTTGGGAAAGAATTTGATTTGTTTCATGTAATAATTTCCTCATGCCCTAATCCGAAGTAATATATATATATATATGTATTCAGTACTAAAGCTGTAGTTGGACAAGCTCTTTTTGCCAACACTAACTGATGTTGCTCCCAAGAAAAGCATTAATGCTATTGCCTCCATTTCCACCTTTTTAATGCTACAGCTGTTTCACACCTTTCTGTGGGCCAGTGTAAGCCTTCATGCCCTCTAAGCAGTGAACTGGATCTGGAAATCATCCACTCGAAAGAACTGCTGTGGGGGGGGAAAGTGTCCTTTGAATTATGCCTTGCAAAAATTACTTTCAGTGTATATTTACACTTGAAAGTCACTCAGTTTCACGCCTTAAGGAAGGCTCACACATTTGGAAGCTTGACTGGTTTTAACAGCTGTAATGGAAGAATAAAAGATGCTACTTCTCCTAACAACCTTCTCCCAAAAGCATCCTCAGACTATCAGTGTTTACAAAAACACTGTAACTGTTTCCAAAAGGACAATTCTTCTCACTACTCCACTTTCCAACAATTTATGTGGGCTCTTTCAAATCAAGGTAAATATCTTCTACAAGTGATAATTCTTTTAAACTAATATTATTTGTATTGTTTCACTTCAAGGTTTCCAGCCTTTCATGGTGCTAAATACAGATGCTTCGCACACTAACAGTTCTTTTTGCAGTTCAAGACCTCATGTTATTTGTAATACTCTAATCTGTTTATTTTACATTTGTAACATAATACTTACTTTTTGGGGAAAAAAAACCCAACTATCACATAGAAGGCAAGCTAAATTACTCTTATGAAAGACCTTCTTCTATAATTGTGAAATTAGACTAAGACTGACAAATTATCACAGATATTTCTATTAACCCACAGTTTTGCTAAAAAACACGTAATTAATATCCATTATATAATGCCACTTATAGCTTCTAGTCAGCCTTTCCCTTTCATTAATTAGCATTTAAAAACTGCTTCATCCTGTGTTTATTACCTGACCTTATGACTGGAAAGAGAGTGACTCCTAATATGAAGCGCAACACAAAATAATTTATCGTGCTAACAAAAACACAGGACAATTTCCGCAGAAAAATTATAATTTTGTGTCATTTATGATGGCTGTTTTGCCTCCTGAGACCTCCTGAGTTTATGCTGTTAAAAAGTTTTCATGAGGTACATACATCTGAACTTAATCATATATAACTCCAGTACTTAAAAACAGCTGTTTCCTTCACTCATAAAAGGAGATTTAAAAAGTCAGTTTTCTTTTATTGGTTTTATCACTGTATTTCAGTGACTGGCAGCTTCAAAGGGCACAGCACTGTATGGCCCTATTTATTTTGTAAAATGTACACTAAGCTTTCTATGCTTTTATCTTCCATCAAGATCACACAAGACAGATATTGTGCATTATTTTCTTTAGTTACCTGGGGTTTTTTTCTTGCTTGTGTTTCTGCCTTCTAGTTCAAGAACACAAACGTTCTTTGTGGGGGAAAGTGAGCAAGAAAGCAGCACCTGAAAGAATTCATCACCAAGTCATATTCACAAACAGTAAAATGTAATACATTGTTGAAGATGAAGAATCTGGCAATCTAAGCAATTACAGTAACAGGGGGTTTTTATAGGAAATAAGGATTGTAGATATAAAAAGATGTACATTAAATAATAGCCTAAAGATTCATAGATTTAAAAGATACCACTGTAATCACCCATTCTGACCCTACCCATGACACAGGGCAGGGAATTTCACCCAGTGACTCCTTCTGTGAGTCCCACGATTTGTGAGTTAGACACTCTTTTTACAAAGGCAGCCAGTACAGCATTTACCATCTCCTGTAATAATCTGCCCTGCTACCTGATTATCCTCATTATACCTACTGTATCTCATATTTCTAACATTTTGGAAGATATTATCTTTCATTTCTCTGACAAAAACCAATCGATGCCAGCTGAATCTGTTACTCTCAACTCTTCCTGCATAGCTTTCTCGCACACCTGGACTAGCATTCTTTGTATCAGTTTATGCTTTGAAGGAGAACAGATATGAGTGTTCACACAAATTTCTTCAGCTCTAGAGCAACTCCTTCTTCTGAAGAAGACTGAAATCTATACAAGACTTTTTTAGCAGATGCTACAACAATGCCAGAACAAGCAGATATCTGAATAAAGTGTTGATTTTGCTTCCATAAGGAGAGGCCAGCATTACAAACCTCACAAGTTCACCTAGTGCAAATTCATTCATATTACAGTTTTGCAATTTATAAATGAAATCATTGCTGGAAATTAAACCTATCTTTTTACTTAGTTCCACTTTATGTGAATAATTTCATTTGATACACTTTAAATATTTTAAAAACTCCTCTTTAATCTTGCTTTTGTGTCTTCTGCTTTAATAGACTTTGCCTCCCAATGTAATCTGTAATAATTACTCCTTACTGTTCGCAGTGACTGTTTTCCAAAACAGACTTTCTAAATAAAATCTAATTAAGCCACACTTCTTGAAGTTCTTTCAGTCTGCTTTTATAAATGTCTTATGTTGGTGAGCATGAAGATTCTGGTTTTCTATCCTCCCTTAGCACAAAACTATGCAGAAAGGCTATGAAAAAATTTGTTTCCTTGCAACACTGAGGTGGCAGCATCCATTTCATTTACTGAAGCGACAAAATTCATTTCCTAAAATAAAGAAAAAAAACAGATTTTGTTGGGGGTTTTTTGATACTGCGTGTAAAACATACAGATGGAGACCATCAATTTTGGAAATAACTTTGTGGGTGTTTATTATTCCTTTGACAAACATGAAGGGTGCTGAGGGTGGAGGGGTTTTTTTACCCTCATATTGTCAAAGTTTCTTTGAAGTGTAATTTAAGTAATCTGCAATATATTCATTAAAGTTAGTGAGACTACATAGATCATCAGCATCTATCAATCATGGAGAGAGACTTCTTTAAAAGACCATGGAGTGACAGGATGAGGGGGAATAATTCAGACCAAAAGACAGTAGTATTAGATAGGGTAGTAGGAAAAAATTCTTGGCTAGGAGGGTGGTGAGGCCCTGGCACAGGTTGCCCAGAGAAGCTGTGGCCCTCCAAGGACAAGTTGGAGCAACCTGGGTTAGTGAAAGGTGTCTCTGCCCATGGGCTAGAACAAGATGATCTTTAAGGTTCATTCCAACTCAAACCATTCTGTGATTCTATTTTTCGCCCATTTATCGAGATCTGGTAGTTCTACATTAGAGGCTGTCCCCTGTCCCTCGCATAAAGGTGGTTCAGAGCCACAAGCTCAGGGGTCAGCCCCCTGCCGCCATTTCCCCGCCTCCCCTCAGTCACCACAAAATGGCGGCGGGTGCGGGCGGCGACTCTCCCGCCGCCGTGCACGCGCGTGGCTCGACCAACCGCGAGCGGTGACCCGGCCCCACGTGACACCCTCGGAACTACAACTCCCGTCATGCCCCGGCGCTCCCTCCTTCCTTTTCCGGTTCCCCCTCAGTCCCACCGCGCTCGGGAAGGTCGGGCAGGGCGGACGAGTCACCGCCAAGTCCTGTCTGTATCATGTTGTCCGCCGGCGTCCGCCGCTTCGCCACCTCCGCCATCCGCCGCAGCCACTATGAGGAGGGACCTGGGAAGGTGGGCAGGAGCGTTTCGGTCCGCTCAGGGTCGTGGGGGATGGGGGGGATCGGGGATGTCTGTGATGGCCGCCCTGTGATCACCTGCTTCGTGTGGCTTTGGGGTGGCGCTGTGCTGCCATGACACCCACAGCAGACTAAAGCCTGTGGTGCTGGCCCCCAGCGCCCTTCCCTGCGGTGGTACAGATGATGAGCATTGCGGTATGAGCAGCAACAATGATACTGTAAACGCTTTCTGATGTACCTTGTACTGGGTGGTTTGTCTCAAAGCCCCGCGTCTAAAAACTTAATTTTATAGCGTATCTAATGGAAGTGAGGAAAACCTTCACGGGGCAAATAATTAAATACCAGGACACTGGGGAGGCTGTGGATGTATGTCCTCAGGAGAGGGTGAGACCTGCAGCAAAATGGCTTCGCTTTGGGCTGCAGATAGAGGCGACAAAGTGACCCCCAGAGATCACATCCAGAGAGTGTTAAGGTTTGCAATTCTGACCCCCTTCCACGGGCAGGGACGCCCTCTGCTAGCCTGGGTTGCTCCAAACCCCGTCCAACTTGGCCTTGGACACTTCCAGGGATGGGGCAAACTGTGCCAGGGCCTCATCACCCTTACAGGAAGAATTTCTTCCATAAATCCAGCCTTAATTCCCTCGATTTCAGTTTGAAACTGTTCCCCCTCGACCTGTCACCACAGTTGTTGAAGTCTCTCTCCAGCTTCCCTGTAGGTGCCCTTCAGATAGTGGCTAATTATTCATAATCACAAACACCGTGTTTCTTTCCTTGAAAGGAGGGGAAACTACTTTGAAATGACATGTTTATTTTACCAGTTTGTCTCTACCTGTTAGTGCTCTGAGTTTCTCACTGTTTTCAAGTCAGTGAGAGAGCAATTAAACTGCACGGATTGCAAAACTAAAGCTCTCTTTTCTCCTCCAGAACCTGCCTTTCTCTGTGGAGAACAAGTGGCAGCTGCTGGCACTCATGTGTGGGTTCTTTGGAAGTGGATTTGCGGCCCCTTTCCTCATAGTCAGACACCAGCTCCTGAAGAAATGAAGGGCACAGACTGTAACTTCACTAACTGGGTAATTGATTTTATTGCTTTTCACAGCACAGTGGAATTTGAAGAGCCTGGCCTCATCAAAAAACATTGTAATTTTCAGTCTTTTGCAGTTCACCTGCTCACAGTTGTGATCTGCAGTTGCATCATAATGGCTCAAATAATGGACAGGTTTTAGTTTGTGTCACAGAGCTGCTGCACTCAGTGGTTTGTGAACTTTGCCTCCCGAGAGGCCACATCTCTGACTGTAACTAGAGCCATGTCTGCTTTCACCTTTGAGGAAACACAAAGGTACACCTGACATGACCTGTAGGAGTAACTGGCATGGGTGATGTGACAAAACAGGATAAGAAACTGTGATGCTGTAAATGCTTTCTGATGTGCCAGATAAAGAGCAGTAGAAAACAAGATTTCTTAAGCTTCTTCAGCCATATCCAAACAATTATACCAGCTACATCATTCCTGACTAGTTTTGGGCTAAAGTCCACTTGAAAAAAGGTCATTAACAGAAATTAATTGATGCTTGCTGATGGTCCTAGCAAAGCAAGCCTCAGACATGACCCAGACTGTGCAAGCATGTCACTCACAGTTAAAAGGCTACTTCAGTTTGTCCTGATACCATTCCACTTTGGAAATATCTGGTCTTGTCAATTCTGTGATCTGAAAAACATGTTTTTCAGAAACTGGAATCACCCAGGTAGTTCTTTGAAGGAAATAACAATCCTCACTGGCGTCTCATAGTTGGAATAAATTGAAATTATCTGTGTCATTCCTTTGCCAGTTTGATGTTTTTGAGTCCCTGAACTTAGGAGAAAACAAAAATTAGCAGACTTTTATTGAACTTCAGCATTTAGAACTGTATGGCTTCATGTAAGTCAAGGCTTCTGCAAAACCAGGTGGTGGATGAAGCCAAGCCCATCAAAAATTCTAATTAAAGTATGTGCTTATAGCTGTTCTATATTCAAATAATAACTTGTAATTTTATTTGTAATAGTAATGTAGAGTTCCTAAATTTGGTTCATTTCTTTTCCTTGCAGAGTTGGAAGTCTTCTACCCATCACCTTTCAGTGGGAAAATGATAGCTGCAGTACAAGCTGGATGGGTCTAAATAAAATCTTAAATCTGAAAGCCTTGTGCTCTGTATTTTATGCAACTGCTAAAGTGCTTTTGACAGCTGGTGTATTCTGAGAACCCCTTCAAATTGCAGTGTATTGCCATTAAACACTAATTTTTGTTGTGTACAGAAACAGAGGGTAGGAAAAATTCACATTTCAGAAATGCAACTGGGCAAATACGTGGTTTGCTATTAATATTTTCTTTACAAAGAACTTTCAGTACAATTTTGTAAGCTTTTTAATCTAATGCACTCAGTTAATTCAGGATTTCTCAAGTACAGATTAAACAATATTACTGGTTTTGATCTGTGCAGCTCTGCAGTTGATAGTTGGTATTTTTTTTAATGTAACACCTGCCCACCAGAAGTTTCAAAATGAGGAGCCACATTCTCCATTCACAGCAAACTGTGCTGCCAAAGCAGTAATTAGTCCCTTTAGAACCAGACTGTTTCCCTATGTGAGTTGCTCAGGCAGTTTTCAGTAATTTTCAAGCCCCATCAATTATCAAGTCTGGAAGTTCTCTGTCTGTCTTTAGTAATTGGTTCCCTTAGGATTTCAGAACTTTCCCTTTGCAACAGAAACACATTAAGAGGTCTGTTCTGGTCTGTCTTTCTGTTAATACAAACTGGGACAGTCTGCATTCTATCCAAAGGCATTTTTTACTACAGGATTATCTATAATGTCATCGCTGTTCAACAAAGCAAAATCTAAAATTCATTGTTTTGGTTGCTTGAGTGGAAAATGCTGGTTGTCATTGAGAGAGATGTGGCTCCTGTCATTCATATCAGATGTTGAACAGTGTTTAATTTCACAGAAGCACAACTCCAGATTGTATTTGTCTCTCTGGCTTTATGAAATCACTGCTTATAGCCAGACTTGATTTTGAGAGCATGTGTCAGTCGAGAACCTCTTCCTCTTCAACCATATTAGTTATTTATCTATCCATTTGACTGCTGTTCTTCAAATTTATGTTGGTCTTTAACCCATTCTATGGTTTATTTTAAGTCCCCCTACTCTTTTATTTGTTTGTTGGCTGCTAAACAGACGAGCCAGAAAAGTCTGGTAGATTTTTTTACTCACCTCACTTTCTCATTTAGGAAGGACTTCTCTAAACACATTCCCACCACAGATACTAACATGGAAATACCCAGCCCTGAGTGATTGTAGAGACAGAAGTATCACTATAAGTATGCAGAACTGATAATGATAATAAGTGGAATAGGTAGATTCATTAAAACCCAGCAGCTGTAGAATTAAGTTGTGCAAAACAAGTGTGTTCCGTCACACTCAGCTGTATAATAGTCTGAGTACCCAATGAAATATTTATTTTTAAAATAGCCTTTTGGATTCCCTTCAAGGCACCTTGACTTGGTAGGAGATAAATCAATTGAAAAAACAAGAGATAGAAAAATAAAACCCTTGCAGGTTTGATGTTACAGCCAAAAAGCAATATGTAAGTGGTGCTTCTCTGTCATTAAAACTGTGTGTAGGAAACAAAGCAGTGGTTAAAGGACCTCTGGGACATAACACATCTGCGTGAATTATTGTATTTTTTACTTGCTAGATGCCACTTTTAAGGAAACTCATTAATAGTCCCAGAGTTTTTCCCAGTTTTCCTGATATAATTTTCCCTTTCATGAATTCTGTTTTGACACAAACTCAAAATTGTTTCACTTTTCTTCCAGAGAGCTTCACACTTTACCATTTTATTTCTGTAAGGTATAGTTCTCAAGCAGTTACTCAGTGAAATCTGAGCAGATGTGAATTAGGTGTCCCTATGTTTTAATATTTTGAATGGTTTTAGTTTGGGGATCGTTCTGTTGTATGCTGGGACAGCTCTGGAAGGACTTGTGTTCAGTTACATGGAATGGGGTAAATATTTTGATGTGATGAAAAATAATATATTATTTTCAAATCAACTGATTGTGTAATTTCTGCTCAGCAATTAATTTGACAGTGTACCTATCCAGATCCCATTTTCAGAAAGCAATGGGAATTGGACTCCCCCCCCACCAGTGAACAGAAATTTTAGGTCTTGTTCAGTTGTGTCTTGAAGCATCTGGTATTAACCCGCACTGGAGACTGGATACTGGATTTCAGGAACCACACTCCAGTGTGGTTTAAAAGTGGTGACCCACTCCAATAAGAGTATGAGTTACTTATGAAAATTGTTTTAAAATCTTGTTGCTGCTAATTAAACAGTGAGGTGAAAATTAAAAATATTTTCCAGTGTAAGTTCCCAGCTACTTCTTTCATGTTTCTTGCAAGCCTGAGATTGTTTTATTTCTGTTTGAGTTTGACACAGGAACATGAAACAAAATTAGAGGTTTATAAGCAAATTGGGCTGGAGGAAGAAAATATGAATCTATAGATTTTGGTTGTCATGACAATCGAATTAGCAGCCATTCTTATTGAACACGAGCTGTAGATGAGAGTTTGGACAGCATTGCACGGGTTAACACATTCAAGCTGTTTTTATTATTTAAAGGTAAGGGTCATGTACACTTTGCACTTCATTGCCTTGGTGTAGTAACAACAATGGGTGTTTCTCAAAAAA